ATTTTCTGGATTTTTTCCCCCATTTTGTCTCTCATAGTTGAGGTATACCTATGATGAAAATTACAGGTCTCATCTTTTTAAGTGGGGGAACTTGCACAATTTGTGGCTGACTAAATACTTTTTTGCCCCACTGTAGTTCCCTCCTTAATCAAACAAGTCATTTTAGCCAACTCTGCAAGCCCAGCCATCTTCACAATCCATTCCTCCATTGTCGGCATTTCTGTATTTTCCATCTTTGGGCATATAATAGCCTCGGTGCAGTTACCATATATAACACCAGTCATCCTTGAGCCTTTTCTAGTTAACTGTCCATAAGTTCTAGCCAAAAAAAGATTCTGGTTTCTAGTGGTTTGCAAATTGTTAAAAAAACCTTTAAAACAAGAAAACAACACAAACTAAAAAAGAACAAAGATGGTAGAGATAACACATCCAGATGGGAACAAAGAAGAAAGGTTAGTTATGCATGAAGAAATGCTGCTCTGTGGGTCATTTTTTTTAACGCTTTCCCTGCAGGACTTGAACAAGAGGGAATATGTGGAAGTTGATGAGAGTGACCTCAGCGACTTTGAGGTAAGTGCAGTCTGTTGAAGATTGTAAGTCAAAACTTTCAGGATTATCTGCCCAGGTGCACTATTGTAGTGAAGTCCAAGTTCAGCAATGAAGTAATTTCGTGTTTGCCTGTGTACTGTGGCCTTCTGTGTCTCATGTCAGGAATCTGTTCCTAGTTTATTCTGTAACATAGCTTGAATATCACGTGTGCCAACAATCATTATTATTGCTGAAATCCATGGGTGGAGATATAGAAAATACTATTCCATGGATAACTGGACAAGGAAAGACTGGGACCTCTTTAGGTAATAGCAAGGTGCTGGGCCTTTTCATGAATAGATAAGCCCAACAGGGTATGTCAGACTTCACTGGCATTTCTTATATGTGCCTGGTTGGTTCATCCAGTATCTTTTGATCTACTCCCTGAGCAAGGCTGGAAATCTGTACAGAAAGCAGAAGGGAAGAGACTGAAATAGCCATACTCGTGTTACAGCAGCGCTGACTCTAATCTGGCCTTTGTGGTTCTCCAGGCTGTGTATTCCCTGAAGTTAGAGATGGGCAACCTGCAGTATTCATTGAAAAAGCCCTCTGTGAGCAGTTCAGGCCTGGAAGACCTTTGCTCCTTCCTTGGCATGCTACTTCTTAGAGAAGAGGGACTCAGACAAAAGGGAGGGGTTTAGGACAATGATGATGATTTATTAAACATGTATGCCACCTGGCTCCCAACAACTCTGGGCAGCTCACGACAAATTACAATAAAACCAAAAAACTTGAAAGATAAAGGATGGCAAGACTGGATAGAATGAAGCAAGGGGTCTCCCTCTCCCTCACCAAAGGCCTGGGCGAAGAGAGTATAAGAGAGAGAATGAGTGCCAATTTCACTTTGACCCTTCCCCACAATTGGCCCACAGCTTCCAGTGGATTTCCCAAAGAAATGGGACTTTCACTAGAAAAATGGCAGCCTGCCCCCAGTCTCAGGAGTCAGACCAGGATCAGAATACCCTAGTCAAGCTAGGATCAGGTTTGTTCTCTCTGGTGATCAAACAAACCTCAGATCGAAAGCGACGGCTTTCAGAAGTGGCAGTTCCTGCAGCGCAGCTGTTTGGTGGAGAATGCTGGCAGCAAGGAATCGCGGAGGGTTGGGAGTGAGCAAAGGTGTTCTTCAGATTGCCTCCCAATTGTGTAATGAAGGCAGGCACTGTTGTGTCTAACCTTTCTGTTTTTTTTCTGTTGAAGGAAATGGACAAACTGGCAACAAGTAGCGAGGAGGCGACATCCAGCGAGGAGGAAGAGGAAGAACCAGATTCCAAGTCTAAGGGGAAAACTCCACTGAAAGGGCCACTCAGGAGGAAAAGAGCTTATGTTGAAATAGAGTACGAGCAGGAAGTGGAACCACCATCCAAATCCAAAGAGACGTGACTTGGGAGTCAAGGGCAAAAAATGCTTGGACTGTGAAATAATTGTACATGTCTTCACCCATGGAACTGCCTTGAGGCTTTTTGTATAAAAGAGACAAAGGAATAAGCACAGAACAAGCGTGTCAGTGGCTTTCTATTTTTAGCAATTTGCCTCTGCTGTCCTTCCCCACCCACACACATGCAAAAAAATTTTTTTTTCTTTTTTAAAGCTGTTGCAGAGCAAGAGTATTCTCATTCTTAAAATCTGGAGTTTTTCCTTCCAGGTTCAAAAAACAGGCTTCCCCTTGACCAATGTCTTTCTGGAGTTGCTGGGCAGACAAACTTGTGGCAGAATCCTCTTGTATTTGGTGTAAGCATTCCTTGAGCTGTTCATTTTCACAGCTTTGGTGGACTCCTTGCAGTAGGACCTGGTGGCAGAGAAGAAAGAGATATAAAAGGGCTTATTTATTGCTTCTTGCTCTGCTCCATTTGTTCCCCAGGGAGCATCACACATACAGTAGTTAGATTGTTGATTCACTTAGCTTGGTGTTGTTCAAACTTGGTAACTTTAAGATGGGTGGACTTCAACTCCCATCTTAAAGTTGCCAAATCTGAAAAACACTGATTTAGCTTATAGCTATCTACACCTTGGTGTGAGATCTCATGTTTCTGTCCTGGATTCCTGCCATCTTACCAGGCTGTACCCTGCAAAGCATACTTTTGGGGGGCACTGCTTTTAAAGACCAGAAAAAAATATCCTCACAGATCTCTTTGCATGTTCAAATAAGAACAGGAGAATATTAAGAAATATTTATTTAAAGCATTTGTATAGCTGCCCATCTTAAACCAAACTCTGGGTGGCTTACAATCAAGAATAAAACCACAAGCACCCAATAAAAACCAATAACCAAAAAACAGAAGAACTACAGCCATGCTCCCCTGTTGCAAGGCACACATTATTTCCCACTCTAACCTTACCCTATCCCAATGCTTGGGGGAAGAACTAGGTCTTAAGTGCTCTCCTGAAGGTTGAAAGGATGGAGGCCTGTCAGATCTCAGAAGGGAGGGTGTTGTGTTTTATTTAAAATATTTGTATAGAAATACGTCCATTTCAGGATGTGGTGGTGGTGGGGAGAATAAAAGGATGTTGCTAAATCAGGTTTATAATAGCCACATGTACATTCAGACTTCTATGAGATGGGAGGAATTTTGAGTATGTTAGATCAGCTGCTAGCAGATAGATACAAATCATACTATCCCCTGAAGATTCCTCCTCTCCTGTTGAAAACCTAGGCTTTTCCACACCTGCGGTTCACCTTGGGACTGAAACTTGGCTCACCTTCACCTGTCCTTGGGAACAGTGATTCAACAAGAGGAGGCACTTGGTGGCTCTCTGAAGCAAAGCTGCTTTCACAAGTTCAGGGGTGGTGCTCCTGTCTGTGGCCACATCCCACATCATTCTTAGCAAAGCCTTGAGGATTATGGCAAGACGACAAGTCATTCTGTGACAAGAAGATGGAGATCTGATTGTAAAGACTATTTCTGGAGACAGATGAACCCCCGGTAGACCTGGGAACACAAACCCAACCTAGTTGGAAAAGCTACCCAGCCAACTAGCCCTTCTATGATAGACCCAGTATTGTGTGTTTGCTTGATTGCTGCTTGCAGTCTGTCTTGCATTTATTGTCTCCTGCTGGGGTACCTACTGACACGGCTTATAAGTGTTCTAATAACGAAGATAACTATAGCTTTGACCAGTCATTTACTGACTGGAATAGAAAGATTTATTTTCTCAGCATGTTCTCTTGGCATGAGTATCCCTTTGATTCTAAAGCAGCTGTCTTTTTTCTTTTTTACTAAAAGGCACCCCAAAATGCTTCCGCCTCATATGATTGCTTCTCATTTATTCCATAATTTCCCCCTTCTGATATACATATATACCTATCTATCAACTTTGTGGCAACTTTCTCAGGGGCTCTGGGGGAGGCACCCAAGGCTTTTAGGAGTTCATGCCTGTCTTCTTAGATACCTAGGCCAGGCATGCTGTATCGTACACTCCAGTGTTTCTAATGTTGCAATCCGAGCAGCTTCCTCTGGCCCATCAGGGATTTCCAGGTATCCCACGATCACTCGCTGCAGCCGCTTCAGATGACGGACAATCTGGATGCCAAGCCTCTCAAAAGACAAATTGGTTGAGAATTAGAAGCCCTGTGAGAAGAAGGGCACTCTCATTACCAAGCAGTGATGGGGCATTTCTTACCTCTCAACAAAGGCAGGCAGGCTCTTGGCATATATTCTCCGCAAAGACAGCTGGTTCTCTGCTTCCATGTGAGTCAATAACAGCTGGAGGACTTTGTCAGAGGGTGTGACAAGTGGGGAGTTAGGGGACAATTGCTGTGGGGCCCTCTCCAGGACTGGCAGCAAGTCCAGTATGCACAGCAACACAACCTGGTTTAGGGATGAGAACAGCTGGACCTGTGAGCATCCACCTGACACAGAAGATCAGAGAGCGTGGCTGAGAACTGGGTTCTATTTTTTTATTCTGTCATGAAGTTCACTGCCTGATACTGAGCTAGCCAGTCACCCTCTCAGCCTGGCATACTTAGCAGGGTGGTTGAGATTACACGATGGAGCTAATATATCCCATCTTGGAGGATGCAGTACAGAAATCAGGGGGATCAAAACTGTACTTTCCCAATTAAAAAATAGATGCATACAGACCTCTACTCTATTCTATAAAGGCTAAAGACCCCCCTCAAATTCTCTGTCCTCCCAATCTATTGGCTGGGTTAGCACAACATGTCTGACTAACCTACAACAGAGTTAGGCAGCTTATGGTTCAATCAGGCTATTATACTAAACCCTAACAGAGTTAATTTGGGCAAACCAAGTTACATAAACACAACACTTATATTTCATTCACCTTGGGTGAACCCAACACTGTTTTTTTATTGCACAGACCTTGATCACAATTACCCAGAAGTAAAGTAATTCCCAACGGTATACTTAAGGGTGGAACCTTAAATACTTGTCTTCCCTATTTTTCCATTTAGGGAGATGTTTATATGTGGAGAGTCCCAGATTCAATTCATAGCACCTCTGGAAAGTCAAAAATTCAAAACAAAACAGAGCACAACTACCATTATCCTTATATATAATACTGAACTAGAAAAACCAATGGCAAGATTTCTAAAAGAGCCTTCTCCTTTCCCATCCAAGATTCACTTCTGCACCTCAGCCAACAAGCAGTGGCAGACCTTGTCCTGGGAATGCCACTCACTGCATATCTGTTGGCTAACTGGGCAGGGAAAGAACAAGCAAGTTCTATGTCACCAGAAAAAGAGCATGGCTGCAGGGCATTTCTTTAAAGGCTCCAAATTCAGTCCAACAGCAATTATATGATGGATAGAGACTGATCAGTTCATTTTCAAACAGAGATGCTGAGAAGCCATTAGAGAGACTGGGAGATCTAAAGGGTTATCATTTCTCCATGACTGGAGTGAATTGAGATGGGATGGCTTGTAAAAGCAAAGCTAAGGTTGCAATTCTATGGTTGCTTAGGTAGGAATGAGCCCAGATGAAATCTATGGCAGTTATTTTTGAGTAGATATATGGAGGATTATACTGTACATTACCTGTATGAGTTGAGCCTCCCTGCTGTAGAGATGATTAAAGAGAGCATGATACACCACCTGCACTCTGTTAAACTGCCAGAGGACAGCTGCTGGCTGCAACAAGAGTACATCCATATGATTATCTGACCTGGAGATGTATTTGGCTACACTGTGCAAACAGAATCTCTTTATGACATTAGGAAATGCACATAGGTACGTGCATATATACCTATAACATCATTCCCTTTTTGGGTATCTTTATGCCAAGCACTAAGAAAGACACTGGACAGTGACCTAGTGACCTCCACCACTCAGCATGGCTTTGGACAACTGAGGCTTTCACAATCACGGTTTTTAGCAAAACGTGGCTAGAGTAGAGCAGGTTATCAGCCTTAGTCATACCCATTTTGTATGCAGCATTCCTTGCCAACAGTAAGGACACAATACTAATCAATTTTGGCACAAGCAAGAATATCCCAATTAGAGACTACCTTGAAAGCCAACATATGGTTGTCCACATCCTATCAACAGAAGGTTCATTTTTTCCCCTCAATACATTTTCCATAAAGCTCTCACCGTGGCTCTCTAGATCTTAAAGCTTCACCCAATGCCAATGTTCTCATGAACAAATAAACAATTATTCTGGAAAACCATGCTGATTATTCAAAAGCAAGTGTGTACTTACACGCTACCAATTTTCTTCCATTTGGGTCCTCCTAATGTGATTCTAGTATCCAGGAACTCACAAGGGCAAGAAAACCCTTACGTTAAACACAAACCTGACTCTTATTCTGTCAGTCTCAAACAAACCAGGGATCATAAGCCACCTTTGGATTATATGCTAAATTGTGCTTATTTTTCCCTTTTTGCTTATTTAAACTCCTGCTCCTAAGAAGGAAGAGCCATCTGGAAATAATCAGACTGCATATAGGGCTTTCATGCTCATGAAACCTACAGAATTCCAGTTTACAGTTTTGTGTGAATGTAACCACTCTATCTTTGCCTTAAATAGCACAATGAAGAAAACAGCTGTTTCATTTTAAATGGCTAGTACAGTATACTGATTAGCTCTTGCCTATGCAGAAATAATACACTGTTTATCCCCATTTAAATCTAAAATAGCAGCCATAAACCCAACATATCTTCTCCTTTCCTCAAACATAGGCATAGCTACATCAATTAGGGATGTTGAAAACTGGGCTGAATAAGTGATTTAAATCAAAGACTAAGTGTGTTATTTGTCTAATGCTGCCTATTCTCATTACTATTTCAGTGCCATAAAATTGATGAAAACAATTTTCAAGTCGTGTTAATGTTTTCAGTTGTATCTGCTTCAAGCTGAAATAGAAGAATAATTCTTTGCTCTAATCAGATGAGGTTTAATAGCCATTTTCCCCAACTTATTTATTTATTTGTTTGGAGAGAAGAGCATGTAGATGACCATGGCCTCTATATAATCTATCTGCAGTGAAAGGGCAGAATGGTGTAGATGTGCGTTATTTCCTTACCACATTTTGAATAATATGATGTAGACACTGTACACCCAGGATTTTATTTTCTACTTGGTAGTCATCTGACAGCAGTAGTGAAGGTGGCAGGACTTTTTCCAGGTGATCACCAAGCCAAGGTCTCTGGACCTGCTGGAGCACGAAGCAAAACACGTACTTTGTTGCTGGGTTACGCTGCCATGTTTCTCTGAATCAGAGAAAGAAAATAGCAGGGTTAGACAAAGAGAAGTTTTCCCTAACACTTATTATTTGATTCTTTTAACCTGAGATGCTAGAGACTACTATTTTTCCTGAAAAGCCATAGATTCTGCCAATGAACTAAAGCCCTACATTGTGGGACTGCTTCTGTGTGGAATTCATTACACTTGAAGGTGGCAACAGTAACAAGATGATAACCAAAATAATTACTTGTTTGAAATTCATTTCATTGGGCTTCAAGTTCACAGTAGCCATGAAGGAAACCAAATTAAACCATCTCTGTTTCAATGCATCCTCCGAAAGGAGCCTATTATTTCCCTGGTAAATGGATTCACTGTCAAACTGCTCTTATTGTTTGGAAGATTTTTCCTAACATTCAACCATGCCTTCCTGTATCTTAAATTTATTATTCTGAATCCTGCTGTCAGGGATGATAAAGAACAGGCCTTGAACTTCTGCATGATGTTCCTTCAGGTACTTTGAGAATGCAATCACATTCCAACTCTATTGATTTTTCTCAAGATTAAACATCCAGTTCTCAATTTCTCCTCATAAGAATTAGTTGTTAGTCCTGAGATCACCCTTTTTGCTTTTTTTTTTTACACCTGTTTCACTTTCTCTGAACCTTTCTTAAAGGGTACTTAGAAATGGACCATAGGTGAGGTAGTGTCTGACCACTGCAGAATATAATGAAAATATCAATTGTGCTTGTATTGATGCAGCATAAAACCATATTTGCCTTTTTAGCCACCACACCACACTGTTCACATATTCAAC